AGTGGCTGTGAAGGGAGCTGACCTTTCCAGGGAAAAGAACTGGCTAGGGGTTGGGGCGCAGCCTCAGAGAGGACAAGCTGTAAGTGGATTTGCAGCCATGCATGCCTGACAGTAGGAAAGGGGCACAGCCTAATTGTCAAGTGACAATGACAAGGAAAACAATGGGCAAACAGCAGGGGAGAGCCTAGAGAATCTACAGTGATATATGACAGTAAGTGACACCTGATTCGGCAATAATAGTACTTACATAGCACCACTGTAGGTGTTTTACAGATATTTAATCCTTGCAACAGTCTCACAAAGTGAGGTTACAGGTGCGATTATAAACCTACTTTACAGATGGAGAAACCTACTTTACAGATGAGGTTAAATGAGTTGCCCAAGGTCCCACTGGGATTCAAAGCCAAGTGGAGCCCACCATGTAAGCTGTCTGTTAAGGAGGAATGGTAAAGGACACTGGGCTAGGCCATGCAGTCCTTATAGACTGGGCAGACTTGGGGATTCAGCCTACAAGAAAAATGCTTTGGGGAACACAGTGAAGTAGTGAGCCCTCATGTACAAATTCAGGATTAAGATTTGAAGGGGAGGGACCAGCAGTTAGCGTAATGGCTATGTCGCTGGACTCCCATGTAGTCAACTGCGGTTCGCGTCCCGGACCCAGTGGCTTAAAACTCACACCAGGCGTGTGTGTGTGCGTGCTCAAGATCCCGAGAGGAGAATGGAGGAGAAGGGATTGCGGCATGGCCATCCTCCCTGGAGGGATGATTTCTTGCTTTCTGTTTCTCTGTCTCTGTCTGGCGAGTGCACGCGCCCTATAGCAAAAAAAACTCTCAAAAATAAGATTTGAAGGGGAACTCTTGGAAGACTATTATCACCATCAAAGATTGTTCACTTGGAAGGACCAGCAGTTAGTGTAATGGCTATGTTGCTGAACTCCCATGTAGTCGACCGTGGTTCGAGTCCCGGACCCAGTGGCTTAAAACTCATGCAAGGCACGTGTGCATGCATGCCCAAGATCCCAAGAGGAGAAAGGAGAAGGAGATTTGAAAGGGAACTCTTGGAAGACTATTATCACCATCAAAGATTGTTCACTTGGAAGGACCAGCAGTTAGTGTAATGGCTATGTTGCTGAACTCCCATGTAGTCGACCGTGGTTCGAGTCCCGGACCCAGTGGCTTAAAACTCATGCAAGGCACGTGTGCATGCATGCCCAAGATCCCAAGAGGAGAAAGGAGAAGGGATTGTGACGTGGCCATCCCCCGAGAGGGTTATTTCTCGCTTTCTGTCTCTCTGTGTGGCGAGCACACGCGCCCTATAGCAAAAAAAACTCTCAAAAATAAGATTTGAAGGGGAACTCTTGGAAGACTATTATCACCATCAAAGATTGTTCACTTCAGGAAAGCTGTGATCGGTTGGCATTTGTAGAGGAAAGTGGAAGAAATTGTTATTGTGACACTCCTATCTGAGGTGCTCAGTACACTCCATTGGCACTGACCTGCTGAGGTGGACGTCTTTGTACTTCCACTTCTCTGACTCCCATCACCTGCCCCTTCATGGTGGCCCAGAAACCAATGCTGACCCAGGGCCTCACTGACTCAGCTCAGGCTGAGCTGTGAAGGTGTCCTGGTAGCCAAGCCTTTGTCGGCTCTCCTTCCTCTGACCAGCTGACTCCAAGGCCCTTTCTGTTCTGTTATTTGTCCATAACCCTCTGTAGTCCCTCAGGGTCTTCCCAGAAGCCTAGCTAATCATCACCCAAGGTCAGAGTCCTTAGGAACAAATGTCAGGAGCCAGAGAAATGAAATGCCAGCTCCTGCCCCAGGGTCCTCTTCTTGACTCTTCCCTCTGCTCTTGATGAAGCCTCTGTGCTTGACCTTCTGGGCCACTGGTGTATTGTTGCTGGCCCACTGACCCCCTTGACTCTCCCACCCTTGCTGTTGAGAAATACACTCCAGACCTGTCCTGGTGAGAGTATGTGGCCTGCCCTGGTCTTGGGTCTGAGGAGTAAAGCTGATGGATCCTCACTTGGAGCTAAAATGAGGTTGTAGATCTGAGAGCCAACCAACTCCCTCTGAACCCTGCCCTCTTTCCTCATTGCAGCCTGGAGTAACTGTTAGACTGACGCCCCCCACTCCAAGGCTAAGACCCTGTGCCACTTTGGCAATAGAAAACAAGAGAACAGAGCCCAGCCACAGGGCAGGCTGTTCTCTCCCCCTCTAGGCTTGCACTGCATCTTCTCCAGTGGCCTGCTACTTCCTGAGATCTCATTCCAGGGTGCAGCCCGCTCTGCAAATCCCAGGAATTTGGATGCCATATGTCCAGGTGGCCCCACTTGTGCTAAATGTTAGATAAGTGACCATGCCAGCCCCAGAGCTAATGGTGAGGTCCTCCCAGGTCTTCTCTCAGGACCAGTCCTCTGGACAGAGCCCACTGGCATGGGGGCTTACCCCAGGGAGAGGACGTTTATGCTACCCTTGGACATTAGGGACAAAGTGGTGTGGAGAAGTTATCGGCCCTGGCTCTGCCTCCCAGCTCTTGTAGCTGAGATTACTGCTGACAGGGCCCTCATTTGGCCTGGTTCTGTTCTTTGAGGTTTACTTATTCAGCAAATGTTTATTGCTCCTTGGGTAGATCCAGAGAGGTGCAAAGATTCACCCCACTAAGAAATCACACTTGGTCCTCAGCTTCAGTTTCCCCCTGCCTTAGGGTTCACTAATCAAAAACTGCTCTCAAAAACCCTCATTGGAACCTAAAGGTAAAATTCTTTTACTTGTCCAATAATCCAGACTGCCTGTTGTTTGTTTTCTCACTTTCTCTCTCTCTTACTGTCTCTCTTGGCAAATTAAAATAAATAAAATAAAAGAAGTCAAATAAAAATAATTCTTAAAAACAAACAAAAACAAAAAAACTCACACTGGATGTGTGTGTGCCAAAAAATCCCAAGAGGAGAATGGAGAAGGGATTGTAGCGTGGGCATCCCCACGGGAGGGTGACTTCTTGATTTCTGTCTCTGTCTCTCCAGTGAGCACACACACCCTAGCAAAAACTTCTTTACAACAAAAACCCAAACAAATACCTTTTTTCTTTTACTTGAAACTTACATTCATTATAATAGTATAATATTAAGTAACTACATAAAACTTAGAAAGTATTACAAAGTATGAAACAATACAATAACCCATTTTCTTATCCTTTTATCTGATACGTGCTTTTTTTTTCTTTTTGCTATAGGGCATGTGTGTTTGCCAGACAGAGAGAGATAGAAAGTGAGAAATCACCCCCCAGGGGGGATGGCCACGCCGCAATCCCTTCTCCTCCATTCTCCTCTCGGGATCTTGGGCACGCATGCACACGCACCCGGCGTGAGTTTAAGCCACCAGGTCCAGGACGCGAAACCGCGGTCGACTACGTGGGAGTCCAGCAACATGGCCATTACACTAACTGCTGGTCCCTGATACGTGCTTTTTTCACAGCTGAAGTCAAGCCTGTGCAATTCTGCTCATGTCATCTCACTTAGCACTATGCTGTTTTCCTGTGTGACTCTATGTCACCTTGTAGAACAAGGAATGTGTTAAGGTTAAGCAGCCTGGCAGGATGTGGCATTTGACATAATAGGGCACTCCAGGCTCCCTGGGACCTTCTGGGCCCTGACACTCTCAGTGATGAGACTCATTCGTCCAGGCTCACCATCCAGGTGACAGCTGAAATGGGCCAAACCCTCACAAGGACCTGTGTGGGGTAGGGTGGTGATATCTGCTCGTTACAGAGCTTGGGCCTTCCCAGTGCTGGTATTCTGAGATGGGCTAAGACATAGTGCTTGGCCACTGTGGACATGGTGCAAAGCAGGCTCTCAGATCCTTTGGAACACCTGGGGCCACTGTGGGCCGAGCGTTTTCCCTTGTGTACCCTGTGTGACTCAGTGCCTGCTCCATAAACAATCATTCCCTCCTGGGTGTATCAATGTCGTCAGGCACATAAGCACTCTCCTTCTGTAAATGAGGAAACCTACAGACCTGATTCTATATCCGTGCTCTGCTGCCCACACACCCCAATGAAAGGCAAAAGGGAGAGGTCAGGGGGTGCAGCTCAGTAGAGAAGGGACAGAGTGGCTGAAACTCTCAGGGGTGTTTGGCCTGCTGTTATGCAAAGGTGTCTGTAGTTCACGCATAGTCTTAATCAGCTTGTGACCAATTCCTAAATGCACAGAAGATCCAGAAAATCTGAGTGGAGAGGAGGCCTGGCAGAGGTCTGAATTCTAAAGGGAAAAGAATTTAGGAACCCAAACTCACAACTGCTGAAGTCTATTGGGGTGAATGTAGAGACCTAGGGCCTGCTGGCCCTTCTAGGTCTTGTTGCCCAGGCCAGCCTTTTCTGGTTCTGCTATGGGTGTGGGAGGGAGCACCCTAGATGATGGTGAAGACCTGAAGAGAGGGAGGAGTGATGAGCAAAGTGTAGGTGTGTCCAACAGCCGGGGCCACCACCTCTGCTGAGGCCACACTGCCTTCCAGTAAACAAGCTGGGAGGTGCAGTTCTCTGGGAGATGGGGTTGGGGGGGGACAGCCCCTGTGTCTCAGTCTCTTTCTGGGCACAGGATCCCTTAAGTGTATAGCCTTGTGTATCACAGGAACCTGCAGACAAGCTTACCCACTTTGTAGAGCCTCCTATTCTTCACAACAATGACAAGCCAGATGGCAATTATGAAGAAATATTAGTTGAGGCCATTTGAGGACAGCCCAAGAATGAAAGGAACCTTGGCCTTCCTTGGAGGGACACACATAAGTATATGCCTCTTGTCTGCAAAATTCCTACCTGGAAACACTGGCTTTACTACCCTAGAGACATTCAAGGCTGGCAGTGGGGCACAGGCAACCTCACTTTGGTGAATGGAGGTGCCCTGCTCAGAGAGCTTGAGGTTCTCTGGAAGTCTCAATTTCTTGGGGCAAAAGCCTGCCAGGGGTTCTTGTCACATCTTACCTTTCTCTTTTGGGCTTTGTTGCTTTCAGGAGCCTGGTTCTGGACCGACGACCTAGAGGATCATGAGGAGGAAGATGATGAGGACTTCCTGGCAGAAGTGGCTGAGGAGGAAAATGAGCCTCCAGGGCTGTGGTCAGCGGCCTATGGCGTTGGGGACGTCCCTGGGACATGGGGTCCCGACGACTCTGATTCGGCACAGACTCCAGAGGGGTGGGAGCCTGACTCAGGTAGCCTCGGAGTACTGGCCGAGGCATCCGAGGGGAAGACCTTCCTGTCTGGCCGGGAGCCCAGCACAAACCTGCTGGCGCCTTGGGCATTTCCTGCAGCAATGGCTGCCCCGGCTGGGCGTCCTGAGACAACATGCGATGTGTGCGGCAAAGTGTTCCCCCATCGGTCTCGACTGGCTAAACATCAACGCTACCACGCGGCTGTCAAGCCCTTCGGCTGTGATGAGTGTGGGAAGGGCTTCGTATACCGCTCGCACCTGGCTATCCATCAACGCACGCACACCGGCGAGAAGCCCTTCCCGTGCCCGGACTGCGGCAAGCGCTTTGTGTACAAGTCACACCTGGTCACGCACCGGCGCATCCACACAGGCGAACGGCCCTACCGCTGCGCCTTCTGCGGCGCGGGCTTCGGACGCCGCTCCTACCTGGTGACGCACCAGCGCACGCACACCGGCGAGCGCCCCTACCCGTGTCCCCACTGCGGGCGCAGCTTCAGCCAGAGTTCGGCGCTCGCACGGCACCAGGCTGTACACACAGCCGACCGGCCGCACTGCTGCCCTGACTGCGGCCAGGCCTTCCGCCTCCGTGCGGACTTCCAGCGTCACCGGCGCGGTGGCGGCTGTGCAGAGCCTGTTGGCGACGTTTCTCGACGGGAACCCTGCGAGACGGTGGCCGAGGCGGTGCCACAGGAAGGCCACGCGCATCCC